GGTGGGGGTGACGAGCAGGACAGGGGCAGGATATCTGGGGGATAGGGGGATGCAGGGGGCTGAGCAGGGCAGGGCATTGGGGGCTGAGGGGGATTGGGTGGACAGGGGCGGAGGATCTGGGGACTGAAGGGCTGCAAGGGGGGGAATGCAAGGAGGGAGATGAGAAATAGGGTGCAAATGGGTGGCATGAGGGAAGGGCTAGATCAAAATAGGCCTCTGGACCCTTGGAGAGCCGCTGACTTCAGCAACATTTAAGGTATGACTTTTTTTTCCTCTTGGTTTTGCCTGGTACTGGCTCTCCTTGAGCTTCTCGGAATCCCAACTTGTGACCTACCTTCCCTAGCTCCAGCTTGGTTCTATCAGAGATGTCCCCCTCCTCCCTTCCTTTGCTCCCCTGCTAAATGTGCTTCATCCCCTTGTTATCTGTAACACTAGGAGATAAGGAGAAAAAACCACACACTTAATTCATGGATGAGCATAAAACTTAAATCAGCTCCTTTTATCTGTTGCATGCTTGCAGATCAGCCAAAGCTTTAATTAATGCCTATTTGGAGTCTCTTCCGCCTTGTGGGGTGGCAGCAAAAGGGACCAATGTGTATGGGTGTGTCAGGAGGAAAAAGAGGGGTTTTGCTGGCTTAGCTAATGGTGTTTGGGAAGGGGAAATGGAAAGCCTTTGCCTGCGTTACTCAACCAACATGGCTTTGTCCTGCACACAGCTGAACGAACAAGCTCTGCATGGAGAGACTACCTCCGTACTGATGGTGCAAAGTACCGCCGCCTCCGTGCTGCTGTTGCGACAGAGGTGGGTACAGGAAGGTAGAAATAGCAACTTGGGGCTCAGTTTTTCAGGCTTGTGAAACAGCCACTCCGGTCTCATCTCCCAAGGGTCAGTGTTAACTTATTGCAAACTGTCCTGTAGAAAGCCATGTGATCCTGAAAATAATTAATCTGTGTTTGTTGGGGGTGGGGAGGTGTATGTGTGTTTGCTTTTTCCTCTAGGAAAAAAAACTTTTCTAGTTCATGACTTGGGAGCAAGCTCCTTAATGAACGGAAATAAATTTGCCCAAAGCAATGATGAGCGAAGTATAGTCTGAACTGGTATTGCTGAGACTTTGTGTCTTTGCTCTGACCAGGGCATGATCACGTAATCTTCTCTCTGAGCTTATTTAGGCTAAGCTCATCTAGAGTAAACAGCTTTGCTGCTTCTTGAAACTTTTTGATGCACCCTAAAAATATTGAAAAAATATTAAGAATTTTTAGCAATTTCCTTTACCGGCAGAAAAACAAAACCTTGATTTGAAAAGGGAGTAGTGCAAATACTTGTCTGGATTCGTGTGTCTTGCTGCAATGCTGGGTTTAGTACCGAGCTTGCAGTGAGAGGGGTTTCTTGTTTTTTCTCCTCTGTGGGACATGGCTTACGGAACTCCAGATACTCTGCCACTGTATCTTCTCCGTTTGTAAATGCAATGCAGGCTCCATAAAATGGAGTTTGAGCTGCCTGTCCTGTAGACACCTCCTTAGCAGTTGGTTCAGCTGTCTTATCTAGTGATTGCCAGCGCTGAGGCAGGAGTATTTTTGGAAGCGAGTTGTGGTGTCAGGCCTGGCTCTGGCGCTCTGCTCTGGATGAAGTGCAGCCCTTTTGGGGGTGGGGGGTGGGGGGAAGGCTGGGCTAATCAAGCAAGTACAGGAAAAGATACGGAGCTATTCTCTAATCTAGTTCTTATTCTCTTCCAGGTCTTGGTGGCAGCTTTACATTCATTTCTCTCTTCCTGTGGAGAAGGAAGCTTCTATGGGGAATATGTACCTAGGAGTATAGTTATGGTGGTTTTCTCTTAACAGAAGCCATGTGATTTCTGTTAAAGAAGTAGGGAAAGCAACTCAGTTGCTAATGCACTAATTTTTTGAGAGTGTCTAGATGAGTTGAGGTTTACTAAGCATTTTTAAAAGACTTGCAAAGTCAAGTTCTGACAGTAATGTACTGGGCAACTCCAGTGCTGCTGTTAATGTTGATGTAATTGTATTAAGCAACAGAACAAAGCATCCTGAATGCATAAATGATACCTGACCGTATAGAAGTCACAAATCAGTATGTAAGTCCAAAGGTTGATTTAATAAAGTTGGTGTTCCTTGAAAAAATCTTTTCTTGTCTGTCTTTAGACCGTCATGGCTTTAGTAACACTATTACAGTTAAAAAGCAGATAAACAGGAATGTTTGTATAACGCGGATCAGTTTCGTAGGTTTGTTTTAGAGCAATAAACCTGATAAATGGGTATGTATTTGGCTACTAAGGACAGGAGGGTTAGAAGAAGCAGTCAAATCCAAGTTGGTATTCTGCAGCCATCTGCAGGAACACAATAAAATCTGCCAGGTAACTGCTGAGCCTGTCACCATTGTGGGCTTAACGCCTGTTAGTCAGCTAGGCATTAAAGAGCAATTTAATATTCCAAGAGTAATTACAGCTGTTCGGAACTGTGAGGCTTAGATGTGGGTGGTTCTGTGCGGGTCTCAGAGCTGCCGTGGAGTTGGCCAAATCCAAGTTTGGCAGGGACAGGGCGTTGCGCAGCGTGGTGTGGGGAGAGGTGGAGTGGAAGGCAGCCAGGGCCTGGCAGGCAGGCATCTGGTGGCCGTTCTGGAGAGAGGAAGAGGGATTAACTCTGGGAGAAGGAGGTGTAGAGGCCCTGGAGCGGCGTGCGTGCAGGCAACTCGGTTGTGCTGTCCAGCAGTTGGTGAATCCTTCTGGGCTAGAGCGGAGGATGGTGCAGAACTTGCCCAAGAGCTCTGCAGTGCTGGCGGGTGAGTCGGCATCAGTCAGTCTTCTGTCCCAGGTCTGCCCAGCTCCTCACTGAGCAGCAGACAGATAATTTGGAAAGTATAGGAAGGATAAAAGGAAAATAAACCTATCCTGAAACTGACTCGTCAGGCAAATCCTTCAGCCCTTATTTAAATGAGCGGTTGCACTAGAGTCAACGGGACAATCAGGCCGCCGTCTGTCTAATCAGACAGGTTATTGTAAGACCGTCCAGCAGCAGCGGAGCATCTTGGATGCTGGTTTTTCACAGGGATGATGATCTCTGTGTATGAAGCAAAACTGATGTAGCAAGCGATGTGAATTAGTATCCAGCCCAAAGCCGGCTATGTTAAGAGTGATTTGAAATCTCGGAAAATCTCACACCTTGATGCGATTTCTTTTCCAGTAAGATGTGTGTGCTCTTACTGGCTTTCTAAAGGAAGTGTCTTTATGGATCCCGTAACTACTGGAGAAAGGAGAAATGAGACAGTTTATTATCATTTCATAGTGGCACAGGCAGAAGTTGTATAGAGATAGTAAGACAAGCGTCGGGGACAAATCTCATTTGTTACAACAGGTGTTTTCCAGAGCATCTTCGGGAGGATGCAAATTACTGTATTTTCTCACGTTATTCAATAACCTTGCTCTCTTGCTTGCAGGTGAGGGAGGATGTTAGAGATTTTTATCTTCTGAAGCAGAGCTAAAGTGGGGGGAAAATGAGATGACTGGTTCAGTGGATTAAATGTTAGAACGTATCTCTTAATCTGGAAGGACCTTGTACTTCGTGCAGCAAACTTTACTCTTCATATTCTATAAGCAAAGTCACCGTGATGAGTAGTGGAACTACTCGGTAGTAGCGAACTGCTGCTCCCTAGAGCCGAGTCAGGAAAAAACCTTCCCCGTGAAAAATCAGGTGTCAAGCAAGAACCAGCCATAACGTCACACACGTTTTCTTTTCTCCTCTGTTCAATTAAAGGATGCTTTCTTATGCTATGAATGTGCTACATGGTTGGGACTGGAATAATTGCAATGTAATACTTAAACATAGACGTTAAAGATTCCCAGCCTACAAAATACTAATCTTATATCCATTATCATCATCTGCAAAGATGAAAGCAGTTTTAGTCTAGTCTCCCATATGTAAATAGAGCCTCTAGAGGAGCAAGCTCTGTTTTTCCAATCCTCAGAAAAGAACTAAGTTAGGTTCTCAATCAAGAAACAATTTTGCTTTATGAAAGCAGATAATAACAGATTCAAAGACTTAACAAAACCCAACTCTCATCAATTGGCACAGTTGCTGCTTTAATCTGGTTTGTCATTTTTCTCCCTTGTGCAGAAAATGTAACCTCCCTCTTGTATCCTTGTTTGTACACATCACCCCTTGTTCCTTTAAAGAGAGGAAAGTCTTAATTTAGAACTGTTGATGGGAATTAGGGGTGCGATGTTCGCAATTCAGAGGTGAGTAGCCTGAAAACGCAGGGAGACTCTTAAGAATAGCACGATCAGAGGAGAGGTTTAAGCCTGTCTCTACCTCTTTGACAAGCACTGGTGCCAGAGCTCGCCCCGGGCAGCACGAGCGCCTGGGAAGCTGCTAAGGGAGGAATAACTCACCTAGAGAATTTTCCCTACCTCTTTAATTTGCTGGCTCATGCCCTCGAGCAGGGCTTTTACCAGGGACGCTCTTTGATCCTCACATCTGCATTCTTCTTATCCAAATCAATGTTTCTTCCCTTTTGGTTGGTCTTTGAAGGCATCTCTGTGCTGGCTGACAGATTGTGGCTGTCCGATCCCTCTGAAACTGTCACAGGATGTTTGAGCAGCTAATAAACAACGGGGAGAGCCCTACCAGAATTCACAAAGGCAGCAAAGCTCTGCTGTACCACCAAGTTCAAAGGAGCTTTAGAGCTCAACGATGAGCTGTAGTGGTCAAAAGTGTTCTATGGGACATAAGAAGGGGCGAATTTAAGCTCGCTGCTACCCAGCTGCTAGCCTCAGAGACGTATCTCTGAAAGCCCAGGGCAGGCCTTTCAGCTCTCAGGAGAGTACAGTTTGACAAGGTGCTGCAGCTCTGTGGCGTAGCCTGTGATCGGGCAGCGCTGGTGAGTCTTCACGTAACTGTACACACAGCGGTAGCAAAACACAAAGCCGGACGTGGACAGGGCGGTAGCATTGACGCGAATTTTGCGGCACAGAGGGCACACGGTCTTCAGTTTGGGTAAGAGAGCTGAGCTGGCCCCGTGGTCGAGGTGTACAGGGGGTGGAGGAGTAGGGAGCGCTGTCAGAGATTTGATCGTCTCTTGGTTTTCTGAGGAGTACCACCAGTCCAGGAACTGGAGGAAGAACACACTGACGGACAGCCCGGTGGACAGGGAGAAGGCGATGCCACCCAACGCTTTCCTCGCTGCTGACTGCACTTGTGTTTTAATGCTGTAAAAGAGAGAAGATACGGAGAAATCGTTACTACTGCATATTTGTCCACCTGCAAACCAACGCAAAAAGGACCTGGGGAGTCAGTCACTGCTTCATACAGCTTCTTAATGCTAAGGAAGTTGGTCAACGTATCCCATGTTTGTAATGAGGCATCTGCTAGGATGTTTCTCTCAGGTTCTTTGTATTTTAAGAAAGCTTCAAGTCCTGTTTTGTTCAGAAGTCTAAATTGGAAGAGTTTGGATTGAGGGGACCTGGACCATAGAGCATTTCACTCATGGATCATCATTTTACAGGACATTAAGCATGGTCATGACTAGCTGCTGCTCAGAAAAATCAAAGAGCTAAGTTTCAGTCCTTTTAGCAATATTGTTGCAGTCTACTTGCCTTGTCAGAAAAGTGCAGGTGAAGACTGAACAGGATAAAGGCTGGAGTGCCAACCCCGCCCCTCCCCCCCCCCAACACTGCAATTTTATTACCACAAAATCATGTGAAGCTAATCCCTGCTACTTGTTTCCTTATTCACACTAACGATATACCCTTTTGGAGCACGGTTTGCCAGAGGTAAACTTCATCTTGAAGAATTTCTGGAGAACAAGACAGTTTTACTTGCAGCATCATCTCCAAATTAACGCATCTACAGAACCCTCTAGAAAGCAGCGGCTAAGCCATGTTCTGACATACCTGTGTGTTTGACTTGAGGTGGCTCCAGCCAATTTCTTCTCCAGGGCCTTGATGTCCTCTGCAGTCAGTCTGACGAGGCGAACGCCAGCCAGCCTCAGCATGGGTGAATGATGCTGAGCTTTCCCGAGGATATAGCACAGTTGCTGGACAAGAAACCAGCCCTCCCAGGTCATGTTTACAAAGGGGTAGGCAGCTAGAAATGCTCTGTAAAAGCGCTTCCAGGACGACGATGGAGGGTGGATGGAGTACTCATCCTCTTCCCTCAGGCTAGACACCAGTTTCTCTAGCTTTCCTTTCAGGTAAGGAACAAGAACCAGCAAGAGGAGAGACTTCCAGTGCTGCCTCTTTGGCAGGCCAGCAGTGGCCAGAGGCTGCTGTCTGCAATCTCCTATCGGTATCCTCTTTAAGCTATAGAAGTTTTCAGAAAAGGAGGCGCTGCACCTGGCCAGATAGTGCTGCTGGAGCAGCAAATCCAGAAGGACATAGATCTCATCAAACCAGTGCCAGAGGAAGCCGTATCGGCCGGGATTAGACTCAGCAAGCACCTATTAAAAGGGACACAGAACAGAAGGAACTGGAAGCGGAGTAATGTGCTAAATTACAGTCGCTATAAATTATGCCTCCAGTGCATAAAGCGAGCTGGGCGGGTCAAAACCGTCACGCTATCTCGGGAGCTTGGCCAGAGGTCAACCCTGGCGATGAACGGCTCGGCACAGAGCTGTGCAGCCTCTCCAGGGCCCCTCCCTGCAGCAGTTTCCCCACAGACGGTTCACTCAAGACGCCGCTCACCTCAGTGTCCCGCTCCCCGCCGCGCGGTGCCCCCAGGCCTGCGGGGACGGGGACGCCGCCGCCGGCCCCTCCTCTCCTCCCCTCCCCTCGCCCCAGGCCTGCGGCCTGCCTCGCCCTTACCTTGACCAGGTGCTGCAGGGCGGGTTTCACGGCGGCCATCAGGCTGTCCTGCGCCCCCC